GTATTTGTAAGACTGGGATTTAAACACAAGGGATAGAAAACAAATTTACTGTATCATCAACAATTATTTCTGAAACCCATCAGAAGCCAAGGTGGTGCCAGAAACCTGTTTAGTGTAGAAACATTCAGAGAGGGAGAGGAGTGGGATTTTGAAGATTGCTGCCTTTAACTCAATCCATTAGGCCCAGTAATGGTGGGCCAAACACAGGAGGAAAACATCCCTGCCCAGATTAAAATATAACTGATTATGGGTATTGGAGACATAGCCGTTCCCATCACATTTTACACGATAAACTGGATTGCTTCTTAAAAACACAGATTTCAAACTTGTTTATTGTAAAGAAGAACTGGTTATAATCAACTTGTATTTGACTAAATTATTCAGCAGTGTCTCACAAAAGTCTTACAAAATTAATTTAAATGGTGTTAGGTTTATGTGGATTCAGAGCTGACTGCAGCATTTGTATAAATAGTTACAATAAATACAAAGGCTTACATTGGAGGGAGGTGCCTATTGCACTGCAGTGAAGACTGATGGCTAGTCTTAGAGCTAGTTTTAATTAGAATATTCGGCAATGCTTCAGAAAACAGAAGAGCTCCCTTATGTTATGAAACATGATGAAAATATGCTACTTCCTTGGGAATCCAAAAGAGTAAATAAAATAAAATAAAATAAAATAAAATTTGAGTACTTACCAGCAAGGCAAGAAGAAACAAAGAGCTGTAAAACAATGTCTGTAGAAGTAAAGCTTCTGCCAAATTTAAAGGGATAGCTCTGGAAAAGGAATTCTGGGAAAAGTGCAACTCTAAATTGGGGAGATGTAAAAATAAGGTCTCGGCAAAGAAATAAGGTCTTGTTATCATAAATATAATCAGTCAAAAGTCATGCTTATGTTTCAAGATAATTCCTGTATGCTTTTTAGGCTTTTTTTTTGTTCCAGTTTGAAAAAAATTAGCACATTCTCAGCAGTCAGTTTTACTGCTATTTTTTGTTGCATGAGGTTTTTTTTTTCATACTTTCTGTTCTTTTCACCCAGTAGAATTGCTGCTGTCAATTTTGCTGTGTAACAGTAAAGTTGACGGAATTATGGTACTTTTTGTATGTCACATCTTGCAGCTTGTTTCAAAGCAGCAGTTCCAGGACCTCTGGGTACCATGCGTGGCCATGTATCTGACTCCTGGTGAAGTCTGGATATTGCAGGGGCTCTTGGTTCTCCACATGGTTTGTTCAGGAGGGTTGTCATGGAGATACAGAGTCTGAAAAAGGCAGTAGGTCTTTCACGTGGCTGCAGTCTATATGGACAGGCTGCCCACAGCAATGGCCATGAGACCTGAGCTGGCAGGGAGCCAGGCAACTTGTGAAAATGCTTTAGCTTATTTGCACTTGACATTTTGGTTGTGGTTAAATGGAGTATCAGCGCATTGATGACCAGCTGTTTTCAAGTCTGCATCCATCTTAAAGGCTTAATTTTATATAAAAATAGCTTTGGGGGATGACTTTGGTGAGGTAGCATCTTCACTTCTGTAATCGCACAGCACAGTATTGGTGCGTGTCCTGAATGTATGAGAACAAAGTGAAAGGAAGTAACACAGGCTGGCACGGGTTGCTGGCTAGGAGCCCTCCTTCCACTAGCTCTTTTCCTAAAGGAAAGAAAGTTTTACTTTTCTTCATGGGTTAAGTTTTGGCTTTTTTATCTCGTCTATAAAGGTTTCAAAGGATGTAGGACTTCTCCTGTGACTAACTGGCATCTGGCAAGGGTGTGATTCTGAACTGGGCTTTAAGGGACTATCGTGACTCTGGTGTAGCAGCCGGAGGAATCAGCCCTGCAAACATTTGTTCATTCTGCCTGATGTCACCATGTGCAACATTACTTTATATGGCTGATCAATAAGATGCATGAGTTTGAAATTCCTGGCTTCAGGGCACCACCATGTTCTGAGTTGAAGGAGTGTGACAACTGGACAGTGGTGGAAAGTCTGAAATAAATTTGAACAGCATCTATGGTGTTTTCAATGCCTACCTGCTTCATTCCAGTAGGTAAAGAGCACAGACAATCTGTTCATCAGCACAGCTCTGGCAGACTGAACCTCCCAAAGGCTGTGTTGATAATGAACTCCTAAATGTTGCAGTTCCTTTGAAATACACTTCCAATTCTTTGAGGAAATAATTATTTCAGAATAAACCAGTCTTTCTTAATGCAGACCTTATTTATTATATTCTGAAGCACACCTTGAAATGCAACATTGAACACAAATTTCTCTTTGATTGGTTTAATGGAAACAATTTCTCTCTTCAGCAAGCACTTGCTTTCAGAGTGAAACCTTAACATTTTACTTTTTATCTCTCTTGTCAATCATTGATTTTTTTTTTCCTGCTGGCCCTACCTGTAAATGTCATATACCCTCAAAAGCATGTAATCTGAAAAGATGCCCAAAAAAGTTTTTATTTTTCAAAGCAGTCAACTAGTTACCAGTTGATCTGACAAATATGTCACACAAATTTATTTTTGGAAAAACAGTTTGTTCAACTGATGCATGGCACTTGAGTGCAAGTTTGCTTAACAAAATTGTAACTAATGCCCAACTGTTATTTTTCTGATTTGATATTTCATATCATAGACTCATAGAACTATTCAGGCTGGAAGGGACCTCAGAGGGCCATCTCATCCTCCTTCCTGCTCAAAGCAGGGTCAGGCATGAGATCAGGTTGCTGCGGGCTTTAGCCAGTCTTAAAAACCTCCAAAGATTTTAACACAACTGCAGAACCTCTCTGGGCAACTGTTTCCAACACTTGACTATCCTCATGGTGAAAAGGTTTTTTCTTCATAACTTGCTGAAACTTCTCTTTATTCAGTTTATGTCCATTGTCTCTCCTCCTCTCTGTCTGCTGGGTTGGGGCTCGTGTTACTAACGGCTGTGACAAATAAACCCTTTCATTTCTCGCCAGTATTTCTGCATGCATTAGGGAGGAAAATTACAATATCCTTCAGGCTCTAAGGCAATAAATCTAAACAAAGTTTTCCTGCTCCTTATGTGCTGTATTAAAAGATAAAAACTCATCCTTGCATGTAAGGAAAACAGAGTTTCAATGAAGATCTGACCGAGAGACTGGAGAGCACAGTTTTCCTATAGAAGATGTTCTTTCATTAAAAAGACTATTGTAACCTAAACACTTTATGATATATTTTCTTTCCAAGGAACTTTTTCAATCTGCCTGAGCATGCTGAAGTCATTATATAGTTACTAGAGATGCTTCTTTGTCCAGGCAGACTTACTATAGGTTACATTTCTGCAGGAGATTAAAAATGATGTATTAGTAGATATCCTGCTAAAAATACTCTTTTAAATAATATGTATCTGCATCTTCCCAAGCCTGGAAGAACATATACAACAGCAAAGGAAATACAGCAAATAATTCAGGGCAAATAATATATAACCATGAAAACTTTTACCACTGTATTTATTTAAATGACAGGAAACATGTCAAAATGTGAAAGCTAAGCACTTCAGTTTATTCACATATTTTACATTCAAAAGACCAACAGAAATAATTTTTTTTTTTTTCAGAAAAAAAGGTTCCTCTTGTGATTTCCAAAATTTTGACAGAGACATGGAATATACTTAATGAAGCATGTCACTGCAGTGCATTCAATGAAAGCCTTGTGTATATGGAAAAAAGAAAATAAACAAACAAATTTGACAATTACCAAAAAAAGTTTGCCTTTAATATAAATAAAATTCAGAGTAGTGCTTTATTTTAACAGACAACACAACAGTGTGATTTATTAACAACTATGTATTTACAGTGCCTCACTGGTAAAAATAATGGGCTTCATCTGAGACCCTAGACACTTCCTGAGAAGGCAATGTGGACTGAGGATTGCACAGCACTTCACATAAGCTAGGTGCTAAAAGGGTGAAATTAAATCATACTTTTAAAATAAGCAAGATGACAAAGGTGGAACTGCTGATGCATTGTGTTTATGTCCTGATCCAGCAAAACGTGCACCTCAAGTACTCCCTTTGATTTCAGTAGATCTATGTATACTCCTAAGGTTAAACACAGGATAAGTGTTTCAAAACCAGGAGCCTCAGAGGAAGACAACTGCTTGACTCAAAGATGCTGTGAGTAGAGAAAACTGCTGTAATTACAATTTTACGAGGTATGGAGGCACACGACCTTGAATTTAAATCTGCATTCTTCTGCAGGGGTGATTTCTACCACTTTTACTTTGATCCTACAGGGTCTGGATTCCAAATATCTCTATCAAGTGACAAACTTGTGAAAGCATCTTCTTCCCACAGCCTCCAAAATCATAGTGCCAGTTTAGTAGATCTCAGTCTTTTTGGCAATTAAATAAAACAAGAACCAGATCTTTTTCAAAGTATTCACAAAATAATCTTCCACTTAAAAATGGCTGTCCCACCATTCTTGTATCAGATCTGACCTCAGCTCTTTAGATCTAAACAGTTCTTTAAAAGTTACAAAAATAAAGAATTGATTAATATACAAATATATATTTCAAAGTGATAAGAGAATAACATTAAACAAATTCCTTTTTTAATCTACTTTAAATTAAAAGAAATGTTTTCAAAAGTCTGGGCTGAAGCAGATCTTTATCTATTGACTCTTTAATGGAACCCATTCCCTGCAGATGGCCACATACAACTTAATGTAAGAAGCTCATTACTACAAAAAGACAGTGAACATATTTCCACTGGCAAAGCAATTAATAAAAAATCTGCTGTGCCAGTTGTTTTTTGGTATCTTGCTTTCAAGAACTGCAGACATTTCTAATATTAGAAACAAAACCTAAATCATGAAAAGTCTTGAGCTTCTTTAGAAATTTGCTTCTTTCCCTGGTCTTCATTAATATTTGTTTTGCAATAATCCACTTTGTTTTGTATACTGTTTGTATACAGCATAATATAAATGTGCTGCATGAATGCACACGTATGTACAAAACCAGTCAGTAATTCAGTTAAGAGATATGCCTGCTCACTGGATCATTTCATACTTTCACAATACCGTATTTTTCTGTAATATCCATAACAACATCATCTAGGTTGCTCCCTTCTTCCACTGAGATGCTCACGCATGTTTTCCTTCCATTTATCTCAAGCAGCCGAAACAGCAAGGAACATTTTTGAACAACCTATAATACTCTTCCTGAATCTGCAATAAAAATAATGAATTCAAATATGAAATTGATTTATGCATAGGTCTATATGTCTTTTAAGTCATTTTGTACTGCTTCAATCACTAGATGTTTTAAGGTGGGGCTGCTTTTGACTTTAGGACAGGATACTGAAGAAAGTGTCACCTCAGGATATTGTGGGTAGCGTGAATCCTGCTGCTAACTGCAAAGACTGGAACGGAGTTTTATTGCACCCGCTGTCTTATTTCATTGGGTTAATGGCACTATAAGGAGTTTTATAATTTTAAAAAACATTTTTCCATGTTTCATGAATTGTTTTTAAAACTGGGAGAAAATATGTGAGCAGGTAAGAATTGGGCAGAGGTTCTGTCTCCACTGAAAGCAACAACAAAATTTCCCCTCTTCCCTCCTCTCTCCCATCAATGACATAAGGATTTACTGTCTTGCTCTGATAAAATGTTTGCACCATGGGTCCACTTCAGGGCTGGGCACCTGCCTGTGCAGGTACATGTGACTACCTGAGTCACTTCCCACAAGGAATGGGACACTTACCTTCCTAGACAACACACAAAGAAAGATGAAGATGAACATCCCCTGGAATGCGTTGAATATTGTAAAAAGATATGCAGTAACCACAGATCCCTGTACGACATGGAGGACCCCAAAGATCCAGGTAGCCCCAAGGAGGAACAGGAGAGCAAGAGCACCTCGGGCACAGGATCTAGACAGGAAGGAAACATTGCAGACAACATGTGGGCACGTGCTATTTTCCTTCCTTCACCTCTTTGGATGGTGAATTCTGCCTAGGGAATTTTTTCCCAGCTGCAAAGGCCTCAGAAATGCAAATGCATGGGCTGCTCTTTAGGGTGTGCTGTAGCACTGTGGCATGCATAGGCTCACATAATCACTGCAGAAGAGCAAAGGAATAAAACTGGAGGGCCTTAAAACACTGGCTTCTTTAATCTTCAGATATGTTTTCTCTGGTGTACTGCAGCACCATATGATTTGATTTAAATCTACTGTTAGTGTAATTCCCCAAGGAAAAACATATGTCTGTTATGAAGCATTCCCCTACTTTTCCTCCTCCCCCTTATCCTCCTCAAAAAATAACCCAGAAAAATGTACAGTATGCTCTTAGGTCAGTACATGTGCATGACATCAAAGGGTTCCCAGGCTGCCTCTCAGGTTCACTGCAGAAAATGGTGCCAGTTGTAAAACTAGATCATCTTTCTTTCGTTCTTTCTCTTTAAAAAAAAAATATTTTGTTTTTAGAACACAAATACTCTCAAATAGTTCCTGGGTCAGCATATTGATGTTTTAAAATTATAGGAAGTGATTGGCTATGATTTTTTTTTCCAACATGCTGTAGAGCCCTGCTCACAGACTTGAGCAAATTACAGCATGTTGTCTTGGAAATGAAGCCACTGATTACTTTCTTATTCATTCTTAGCCCAGTCATTGTAGGACTTCCTTTGAACAACAGACATTTTTAGCACTGTTTCTCTGAAAATGAATAATTTTCAACTTCATTAAAACCAGCTCACCACATGAAGCTATGAAGGGTGAGGAATAAGAGAAAGTAATCAATCAAACAATTGCTAAATCCTAACTATAAATCTAGTGCAATGCATTGAAACTGCAGGAGTGTTCCTAAGCAACACAAACAATAAGTTGTTTTCAATGTTCCCTGTAGTACACTTCAGCTTTTCCTGCACAAATGGTTTTCAAGGTCCCTATAAATCAGTTTTAAAGAGAGTGAGTTGATGGAAAAATCATAGCAGCATGCAAAGCAAAAATCCTAGAGAGAATCCCCACCCTGC